GAGGGCTGTATTATTGGGGGGTTAGTGTGATCGGTCCTGAGATCGTTCGATAGGAATACGACAGTTTATTTGACGGGAATATCGATGGGTGCGTTCAGCCAAAATAGCTGCAAGAAGATTGCGATCGTTTTAAAAGATGATTGCGATTGTTGAGGAGAATGCGGGGGAAGGGGGAAGAGGGATGGAAATTTCTCTCAGAATTTGCTTCGTAATCTGCCTGGGCTTCCGTGGCCTCGATGAGACGAAGACGCATCCCTCTGTCTGAAGTCGGCGAGGTGGCAAAGAGGGAGACGCATTCCTGCATATCTGCGTTATAATACGCATTTAACCGAGTCACCTACCTGTGAAGGAGAGGTTATGTGAAGGTGAGAGTGGTCTCATAAATTCTCACGATCTGCAGGCTTGCACGAATCATATAACATGTTATTTGATTAATTAATTAAGAAGTTAATTCGTTTTTCCTTCCCTATGTCACTTCTTTAGTGCTCTCTTGGATTGGACTACGCAGTTTCCTGGATCTCAACGACACACCCTCTGATTAATAATTTTATTTTCTTTTACTGGTACTAAAAAATCAACCCTGAGTCCTTTGTGTTGAAATTTTGTCCCTCGCGAAGTGGATCCCGCGGAACGCGGATGTGGTCTAGTGCTTTCCATATTCCGTCTCTTTCAGAGACGATGCGCGGCTGCCGAGTCGCAGGCGTGCCTGAGAATCGTCTTGAAAGCTTTTGGGGGCAGCTGGTATCCTCGTTCGGACGATCGATCCTTTGTTAATGGTATCTATCGAGTCGAGAGCGTTTCCGCTCGTTGGAGGTGGAAGTCGTGAACGTCAGCGTGATTCTCGATCGAGGGAGAGTTTCTCATTGACTCTTTGAAGGAACTTTTCTGATAGCCCTTCAGTTTTTCAGGGTCGACATCGTCCGTCTTTGCAGCTTGATATGGGTCGAGATCGTCTCTGTATGGACGAGAGTTGGGAGGATCCTGATCTCGGGAGTGGATGACTAAGTGATTGATTGCACGGTGACTGCAGGCCTTTTGCAGGGGAAGTGATCGAGTGGGAGGTGGAAAGTTGGGAGAGGAATGGGGATAAAAGAGGGGGGGGGGGGGAAAATTATCCAGTTTCGAAAGTTTGATGTCCCGATTGGGGGGAGGGGCTGCGACATATATTTCAAATCTGTCCACGCCGTTCCTTGACTATAGTCTAGGAATGGGGCTTTCAGCGCAAGTCTGACTTCCTCGCGCTTTGGATAAGGCGTAGGAACCTCTAGCGATGGGTTCCTGCGCGATTCGATCACTTGGGGGCTGGGCTCTGGGATGCATTCGTGTGGTTTTCGTCACGAGATACGTAGCGCCCGATGTTCTGGCAGTCTTGCACCGTGCGGACGTGTTTGCCGCGTTTCGAGCACCCGGTAGTTTCTGGTCTCGGCTCGAAACGGACCGTCGGGGGAGAGCAGTAGCCTCGCCTATTGCGTTTGTGTTTTTCTTCGCAGGCTTGTGTTCGACCGAGGCAGATTCCGGTCGTGGGACGTCTCGACCCCGTTCGACGCGGTCTGTCCGTCTCTGCCCGATTCGGCTGCTGGCTGCCGGCTTGGGTTCTAGCTTCGAACCCTTACCCGTCTTTACGGCGCCCAGTTTTATTCTATTAATTTTTTTTTTCCTGCCGGAATTTTGCATCAATAGCCCTCGTGAGAGACATATTGTTCACGACTTCTTGTTAAGTAAACATGGAGCTCGCAAATTAATGGCCTCGCGGACGCGAAGGCTTTCTCAGTCTGGCGATAACTTTATCACCATATCATTTTTATAACTTTTTAAGTCATGAGAGGAGGAGATGGACTGGTCTGGGATTCTCGGGATGACGTGGAGAGTGAGTTGGTGGCGTTCCATATGGCGATGATGACGGTGAAGCAGTCGGTAGTCGGCGATCCGTTCGTAGGTGGGGCTTTGGTGGGCTCCTTGATGGTGTCTCCGTGCGGTCGGCACTGCATTCTCGCGATCTGCGTCTTGTTAATTCGCCGATTGGAGAAGGAAGAGTCGCCGAACAAGGTGAACTCTTTTTGGACGGCAGACTCGCGGAGAGTGACGGGATTTAGACGGCAGAGATTCCTGTGGGAAATCTTTGGTTTCGGTGGTTCGAAGAAACAAAAAGCGAAAGAGTTACGAGTTAAAGAATTCCTCAAGAAAGATACAGATTAATCACAAATATCAGAGCGAAGTCCTTCGTAATATCACGTGAGCAAGACCATGATTAAGATTAAGGTCACGTGTCATGCAAGCAGAGAAAGCGGCTGACAAATTGAAGGGGGTGACGTGAATATCCTTGCGGGAGTCGTGGCGTTTCTTCGCCCCGTGAGTGGAAACGGAGAATGCCGTCGGAAAGAAAGGGGGAAAAAAAGAACTGGAATTGTCAGTGACAGGTGTTCTCTCGGATTCGGTACGGTCGAGAGCATGGACTGTTGTCGACAGCGTCTACGTTCTGGTTTTCCGTCAGCTTGGGGTTTCTTTGAGGTAAACGTCCGACAGATGAAATGTTGGGGTTATGGTTATGGTTGTTTCGCGTTTAGTGTTGGGAGCGTACGTTTTCAGGATTTATTTGTGTTGGAGTTTCCGATATGAATTTTAAAGAATTTTTTTTTTGAGAGAATTTATTTTTGTGCTGACACGACCAGCCTTGAAATATTCATGTCATGGAGAAAAGGTGAAGGCGGCGTTATTTATAGCCAACTGGTTTGTTTTATTTATTTATTTTTATTTATTTATTTATTTAATGCTACCCTCGTATTTCTTCATTCGTTTTGCTTTCGAGTCTCACATTTGGGTTGTTTTTGCCCATAGCTTAAATAAACTCATGAATATTGCTTAAACTTGTGGGTTGCATGAGTGTGCGAGTTCGACCGAGTGAGTCGTGACGCGGAAAAGGTTGAGAACCACTGGATTAGGGAACGAGCTTCATAAAACTGTCCCGATAATTGAGTTTGCGGTACTGGCTGACGAGTACTAAATAGGTTTGCCGGACGTCATATGATTTGTGCGATTGCCAGTACTCGGGAGAAAAATTTTTTCTACGAGCGAGGTCGGAGCGCCCCGCGTGAAAAATCTGGTAACTTGGTAAAATCTGGTAACCCCTGTGGTTATTGCGGAAGGGATGGTGGAGACTATGTGCCGAGCTGGCCTCTATTGCGCGGTGGCATCGCAACAATGAAAACAGGAAAGGATTCATTTCCGCTGCGCTAAGTACTCATTAATCCCTGGGACTTGATTATTCATGCAGATCGCGTAACGAGTTTACGTTCCTGCAGAATCATTACTTTCACTCTCAACTAACTACCCTTTAGTCGCGTGGAGGCGATGATTCGTAATTTTTTGCGTGTTTGTTCCTTCGTCAGATCATCGGGTTAACAGGAGCACACTCTTGCCTTGTTTACTTTTTTTCGCATCACTTTGAATCCGGGGACGATGAGGTCGCTTTGCTTCCTCTTTTCCCTCCAATTAGGAGAGGATCCCGTCGAAGCCCGTTTCGTTTATCCCTCGATGTTTCCGTTCGGTATTCTTAACCCCGGTAACGAGGATGGCTCGACGAGGCCTGCAGGAGATGCCATCGTCTCCATGCGGTGATGCCGCCCGCGTTTTCCCTCTCATCGTTTCGGGGCCGTTTCGTGTCTGTTTTTCGGGGCGGGACCGTGGTTTCGTGGCCCGTTCTGTCTTTCGCGAGGATGTCGATCGAGAGAGTTCACGGGATCGTGTGTCGTTCGCTGCGTCGTGTATCGATTTGGTTTTTTTTGGTCGATCCGTTCCGTTTCTCATTAAGGGTGTTTGTGGGAAGCTCAGCATTTCTTCCTTACCTGCCGTCTCTGAAGGGAAGGCGAATTGGATCGGACGCGATGGAGAAGGGGAGGAGAAACCTTAATTTTCCTCTTCCCTTCATCCACTTCCCACTTGGAGCGAGTCGCTGGGGTGTGGGGGGATTGGGAGGCGGGAGGGAGCGTGCAATTACAAGTTTCTGGGGATGTTTCAAACACCGTAATATCGTGAATCTGGGATTTGTGTGTGACTTTTCCATTTTCTCCGGGTCGTGGGGAACCGGGGCCGATGCCTTTCTCCGAGGATCGTTATTCTCGGAGGACTTTCGTCGGGTCGAGTGGATTGTACTGCTCGTGCGTTTTCGAGGCTTTTGTTTTCGATGGAGACACTTCGTTTGCCGCCGTCGATCGATCGTTTTATTCGAGATTTTCTTTCATCCGAGAGAAAGGGAGGAAATCCCAAGTACTTCGTCGCCCGTCGATTCGGCCTCGTTTTTCCCGATTCCCTCGCCCAAAAGAGGCCAGGGACGGATGCAGTGATGGAAAAAGATGGAGTGCCTCATCTGCCTCCGATGACTTATCCTCTGATTGCAGGATGGATGGGAAAGAAGAAATAACGGGGGAGAAAGCTCTTCCCTTTCGTTGCTAAGCCGATCCGCCTCTTTCATTTTTTTCCTCGTGCCGATGGGGATCGGAACGGTAGAAGTCTTGCTAGACGATATCTTCGTGCATTTTGTATGCCCTAGCGACATTCCTTCGCCGTTCCGAGAATCCATCGCCTACGACATCCGAAACCGTTTACGTAGGCCTATGCCGTGTGGAAGGGAATACTATTGATTTATGGAGCGGGACGTTCAAAGAGATCGAAAGCGGAGAAGTCTGACATTCGAACCTGTATATTTGATGCCGATTGCGTCTGAGAGGAATCTCGGAGCGTGCTCATCGATCACGAGAACCCTCTGTATCGACAGATATATCGGCATTCCATACCTTAACCGATGAGATGAAGGTGAGGAGCTTGCGTCGGTTGTGCTTGGTGCGTCTGGGCGCGCGGCTTCACGGTCCCTTGGAGCTCCCGTACTCCCTGTCCATGGTGGAGAGCCTCCACAAGTACCTGACGGTGCTCCCGCCGACGCTGGTGGGGGAGCTGGTGAAGGTCGTCACGTGCGAGTTCCAGCGGACCTGGGAGCCGCTGGGGGATTACTTCAACGTGGAGATCGATCCGCTGCTGCTGCTCTTGGAGAAGCTGGACGTGTCGCACGTGCAGGAGTTTCGCTTCCTCTGCTTTCCGTTCCAGGCCCAGCTGTTGATGAGCCAGCTGAGGCGGATGAAGAATCTGCGTTACGCGTGCCTGCAGTATTTTGCGGAGGACAAGATGCTCGGGATCCTCGGGAACGCTTGCGAGCACCTGGAGGTGGTGGACGTCCGGCACTCCTCTCTCGTCACGGACGAGGGGCTCAAGCGTCTGTGCCTCAAGCAGTGCGTGTACGGAAAGAGTCGGTGGGTGGAGGCGTTCAAGAAGATCAAGGCCCTGCAGTTGACGACGCTGGGGTCCCGATACAAGCAGATGCCCCACGTGGAAGTGTACGACAGGGAGGAGTTGAACCCGTGCGTGACCCGCTCCCTGAGGCACGTGTGTCTGAAGGACACCTCCGTGACGGAAGGGGGAATCGCGTTTCTCGCGTCTAAGGTCAGGGAGTCTTGCCGGATCGACTCGTGACGGGCTTGCCTCTTATGGCCGTCGGACGGCATTCGTATTGTGTGTTGCGGAGGCCACTTCGCTGTGTTCGTGACATTTGCAATGGTTGTCGAAAATGATTTTTAAAAGGGATGAGGATCGCAAAAATGTTGCCCTATTCTCGGTCGAGGGAGTGCTACGTCGTATGTCGAATTTGTATCGGACCTCTCCGGTGACTTTGAACGCTGGCATTGACGAGATGCATGCCTTCCAGGTGTTGCTGATGGAGTTGGAGGTTGGAGGCAGTGGGGAGTGGACCCGGGAGTGTTCGCCGAGTCCCTGATGAGAGCGTGTGATCGGCTGGTGTCCGCGGGGAGGTTCACACCGAGGAAGCCGGCGGCCATCCTCGCCGCGGCGTATCAGGAGCTTACCCAAGAGAAGCGGCACATCATCGGTGAGGTCATGCTGTCCGTCTGGGGATGGTTTAGGGTGCTCTCGGAAGGAATTTAGCCTTGGGGTTTTGGTTACTAAATGTCTTCGGTGACTGATTTTTCCATCGTTGGAAAATTTACGGCAGGGTTGGGCCATGGAGAGCATTAACGATCCGAATCGTGGGGATTAAAATAAAGAACGCCCACTCTCTTAATCGACTCGCTTATGTCGGTGGTGACTGACGTGGATGTTATCTCGCATGCGATGGCAGGGAGCAGCACGGCATGCGTGATTGCCCTCGACCGGGAGCGCGGATGGCTCTACGCGGCGAACATAGGCGACTCTGGCTTCCGGGTCGTCCGCAATGGAGCCTTCATCCACCGATCCCAGGAGCAGCAGCATTACTTCAACACCCCGTTCCAGCTCTCCCTCCCCCCGCCTGGGTCGCGGGCGAACATCCTCAGTGACAGGTGAGTCCGGGTCGATCTCGGGGGGAGTCGGAGTCGATCTCTCGGATAATGCAAGACTCGTTAGGATGTGATTAATTCATGCGCCCTTGAGAGTATGTTGACGGTTTTACGAGGGTGAAAGCGGTTCCTGATATCTTTTCCTTCTCTCCCTTCTCTTCTATTGCATTTTTAATGGGAGCACTGAATAATAAATACAGTAACTGACAGGTTCATTATCTCGTCGATTTTAAATCTGTTCTTTATCTAGCTTCTTTTATGAAGAAATAAGAAATCCTATCAAATATGCAAATTCTTTCCCTTTTGTCTGTACAAGTGGAGGAAGACGCCTTCTTATTGCCGTTTTCTGTGGTTGAAATGCTGTGCAGCGACAAATTAATTTCATGGAGGCTTGAAATGTGTGGTTTCATATATAACTTTCCGCGAACTTTAAAGATTAATTACAGCCGTAATGGGGAAATGCGAAGAGTAAGTTGCTAATTTTTACAGCGCACTCAACCCATATTTAGTAGGGCAATGTGAGGTTGGTTTGGGTCATGTTTTAATTTTTAAATTTATGTAATGCCCTTGTATGACCATTCTAATTACTTGTGACATCTTGTTGAGAGATAGATTGGATGCATACGTGTCATTCTTATGAGGTTGGAAATTAAAGCAATGCGTTCGCTTGAGTCACCGTATAAGTCGAACCTTCGGTTGGATTCCTGGATATTTTGCAGCAGCTGTTTTAGTCATATTATAAATTGTAAAAAAGTTCAATTCTTAAAGAGTGAGGCTGTTTGAATTGCTTTGGACTTGAAAATCACAGGGCTTTCCTGCTTTTTCCATTTAGCAAAACAAAATTCTTTTCGCAGGAAACATTTGCAAACGAAGACAAAAAAGTACGATATTGAATCTAAAGCTTAAACAAATAAACATTATTTTTATGACTGAATCCTGAATCTCACTTTACTTGCGTCTCTCTATTAGCCTAAGGGATTACTTTTCTTTCTTTCTCTTGTGGTATCGCATCGTCGTTGAAATGATGGTGCTCTGTTGGGTTCGTAGCATGTGAAAATTCAGTGACTGGGGTGGGCTTGTTGAAAGTAGTGCCGGATACACGATGATGATGGGGTTCATCACATTCTTTAGGATTACTTTGGGGAGGGAGTGGTAGATAAACATAGATCTTTGCGAACGTGCCAATTGCAACTTCCTTTCTTCCAAGAACGTTTGACCCGAATAACCCCACCCTACCGTATTTTCCTGCCCCCTTTTTGTTTCAACGTCTCGCTTTACCTTTTTTAAGTTTGGAGTAATGACCGTGTCGGAGGCTTATTTCCCGTATCGATACGCGCCTCGTAAAATGAGACCACGGGTACGAGAGGATACGATGCGGTAGACGACGTGACGCGACGCGTTTCGATTTCCGGTCCCCCTTCAGCCCGGAGCGAGCGGACACGACGGAGCTGAAGGTGGAGCCCGGGGACGTGATCCTGCTGTGCTCGGACGGGGTGCTGGACAACGTGCCGGAGTCCCTGCTGCTGCCGCAGCTGGCGTCCCTCGTCCATACGGACCCGGACCCGTGCCTCTTGCAGAAGACGGCCAACTCCATCGCCCTGCAGGCGCGGAGCCTCGCCTTCGACTCCAACTTCCTGTCCCCGTTCGCGATGGCCGCGAGGAAGAACGGCATCGCTGCCAACGGTGAGGATTGATTTTCGCTCGCGGAGCGGCGGTTCGTCGATCGAATTAACTTTCCGTCGTTCTTTCATCGCGTAATTGAATTCCAGACGTAATTGAAAATTTCACGATCCGGGTGCCAGGCATCGTGCATCGCATCACCATGCATTTCCCTCCATGGTGTCTTTGCTCTCTGAACGTCTCTGATTAATTTCATTCGTGATTATCCGAGGCCCCGTTTTACCACGACACGACAGGTTTCATGCTTCCTGCTTCCCTTGCCTAATTACCAGAGACCAACGTGATTACCTTTGCCTTTGTGTGGATTCCTCGGAGCCCAACGCCTTTTCCATTTTCTTCTGTGCTCGTGGGATACTGGTTCGATTTCACGGGGTGAAGCGTCTATTGATTTTGCCCTTTTTGTCGAGTGTTTTTACGGCATCGAAAGCGTATTATCTACTTCGAAGGTAAATCTAATCCTGTGGAAAAATTGGGAACCTGGCTCTAAAAGAAATTTTACTTGCAAATGTGAAGGCCATAAATATTCATACAAAATTAATGTATTGTATTTCCTGGGCTAATAATTTTCCATCGAATGAATTGAATCTCAATGGTACAAAGAAATCCACTGCGTAATTATTCGCAGAATATTTTCCATATTTGTCTCCTTCCTGAGGACAAATTTGAACCTTTGGGTCCTCTTTCAGCGCAAGCTTTGATTTATTCTGGTCGCTGGATCTCGTTTTCGGGCACTTACTCCCAGCACACCCACCATGCAATCACCTATTAGAATGCAATCAGAGTCGTAAGGGGATCGTTCGTGTTGATTGATAATTTCTATATGGTTTGCTGGCGAGGATTTTGTGGAGTCTTGAAGCTCTCGAGACTGGCCATCAAAGAAACGCGTGAAGATCTGTAGATTTAACGGAGAAATAAGGACATGGCGGAGGAGAAACAAGGATATAGGGTGAGGTGTACCAAATCCATTAAATTAATTCTTACGTATTATGTTTGCTCCGTATTACAAGGTTGATGGAAATTTTCTTAACTTTCATATCCTTTCTTTGCTTTCTTTAAATCCCCGTTGCAGAGCTGTCGAAAGTGGGAAAATTTTCAGGATGTTAAAATGAGCACAAGCTGTCTCCTTTTTTCCATTTCTGTTACCTAAAGTTCTTTTCTCCCAGTTAAGGATATATATATATATATATATA